CCATAACGATATCCTGAAATATTATAGGCACCAACACAGCACATAGGTTGCTAAGGAGCCACTATATTAACTATTTGGGAGAATTCATTGTTCCTATTTCAACAGGTAAGTCAGTGTTATGTAATGGACTATGAGAATAATCTTGAGAAAGAGGAAGAGCTACAACCAAGGCTATGTCAGATAAGAGAAATCTCAGCCCACAAAACAGAAATGGAATTTGAGAAAGCGTCTCAGACATGACCCTCCCTACTTCTTTTGAGGATAAAGGCAAGGAGGGGAGAGGAACATTCAGAGTTGCAAGGTTGACGTCAAAACTTCAAAGTAGACTAGACCACTATAACTATTTTTATTATAGGATTAAAGGTAAAGGTTCCCCTCGCACATATGTGCTAGTCGTTCCCGACTCTAGGGGGCAGTGCTCATCTCCATTTCAAAGCTGAAGAGTCAGCACTGTCCGAAGATGTCTCCATGGTCATGTGGCCGGCATGTCAAAGATGCACAGAATGCTGTTACCTTCCCACCAAAGGTGGTCCCTATTTTTTCTACTTGTATTTTTTACGTGCTTTCGAACTGCTAGGTTGGCAGAAGCTGGAACAAGTAACGGGAGCTCACTCCATTACACGGCACTAGGGAATCAAACTTCTGAACTGCCGACCTTTTGGTCGACAAGCTCAGCGTCTTAGCCACTGAGCCACCGTGTCCCTTTTTATTATAAGGTTACGGTAACACAATTTTGTATCTTCATGGATCTCCCAAAAAATTTCATTCCATAGAAATTACAGAAATGCCATCCTGCATGTAGTTCTACAATTGCTTGTGAATTTTTTCTGTTGCTACAAACAGAAATAGATTTATTTATTTATAAAATTTATAGGCCGCCCATCTTACCTCAAAGTAACTTTGAGTGGCTCATAATCATAAAATTATAGATTTAACTTCTTCCTCTTACATACTTCCTGCTCTCTCCCCAGTCTTTCACCTGCTCTGTCCTTATTTGGGGAATAAAGCTGTGTTTGGATTACCTCAGAAGGCTAAGTGACCGGATATTTCTCTGCAGAGAACTTGGGAAAATATTTGCATAGAATACTAACCTCTCTTTCCGGCTAACCTGTTAGGTTTTTTTAAAAAAAATTCTGTTTGTTTATTTGGATGCTGAGAAGTACATGTAGTCCTCGACTTACAACAATTCATTTAGTGATCCTTCGAAGTTACAACACCACTGAAAAAAGTGATTTATGACTGTTTTTCACACTTACGGCCATTGCAGCCTCCCCATGGTCACATGATCAAAATTCAGACGCTTGGCAACTGACTCATTTTTATGACAGTTGCAGTGTCCCAGGTCATATGATCACATATTATGACCTTATGACAAAGAATCAGTGAGGAAGCCAGATTCACTTAACAACCATTTTACTAATTTAAAAACTGCAATGATTCACTCAACAATTGTCTTACTTAGAAACAGAAAATTTGGGCTCAGCTGTGATCGTAAGTCAAGGACCTATTTGTTTTTAGTATGATCCAGTTTGAATACCACAGAAACAGATTTATCTCCTAGGTTATATTTCGGAGAACTAGAGGATAAAGTTTCTTATCTGCTTCTTCAGAAAGTAGAAGTGGACTTTTAAATTAGAGATTAGATTCCAATTTAACACTATGAGAGACTTCTTAATGCTGAAAATAATCAGTGTGAAAATGGGATTATTATTAGTTGAGGGTAAGCACTGCCTTTCCTTGGAATTATTATTTTTTTTTTAGCTAAAGCTAGCATATTTTATCTGTTGTTATAGATTGCTGTAACGTTTGATTTCCTGCATCAAGCTTTGGGAATTGGGAAAATCAATAATCCCAAATTGCATGACTGGATCCCAGGAACATGCTCAGACATAATGTGGTTTGTTCAACTTTGGCTAAACATGATATATGAACCCAGCCATTGATGTTTCCTGCTTAGCAGTATGAGAAACTGGGACTTGTGCCATAAAACTGTCAGTAAATCTTGACTAAACACTTTGTATTAACTAAGGGTTTTAAGCAAAACCTTGAAATATTTTGGAACTGGCAAATTGTTAAACAAAGGAGTAATTGCTGATTCACAAACCTATTGTGGATAGGGATGCTGGTGCCTTGTGAGCAGTTTTGGTCTTGAGAGGAATTTGCTTATAATTTGCTTTTGGTCTTGAGATTGAATTGTCAGGCTGTAGTCCTATATATATTTATAATCAAATTGTCAGGCTATACACCTATGTATATTTATAAGCAAACTCACTAGTACAGTGAGACCTACAGACCTACATTTGAGTAAACAACTATCTGATTTAAGGTAAAGATTAGATTCTGCTAGCTTTATTTCTTCATGAATCATCACTACATACCCAACAGCCACCATTATCAAAGAACATTTTATTATGCACTTTCTGTACAGCATGTATCTATAGCTACAATTACAATACCTGACTGACTGACTGACTGACTGGTACCAAAGCAAAGAAAAAGCTCCTTAAAAAATCTTTATGCATTTTCACCGTTCAACCAGGAAAAAGATGGATTGCCATGGTAACATCATAATGGAAAATAGGGCACGTTTTTATCAATATTTGTCAGGCTTACTATATGCTGTTAGATTTTTGCTTAGAAAATTACTCTGAAAGTAGAAAGAGACCATTGCATTTTAGAGTTAGGATAATCTGATCAGTGGGTAAATTAGCATCAATGAATAAGCAAAATTGAATTGATAACCTAACTAGTTTTCCATAGAAACCTATGTCAAGATTTAATGAAAAAAAGTCAGTATGAATTTTTAGTAAGAAGTATAAATTAAATATGGAATTAATTATTCTGAATGGTCTATTAGCATAATAGCTAGACATACAACATGCAACAAAAGGACTACAAAGTTCACTGAGCAGAGAAATTGATGGGGAAATGTTAGCATTGTAAATGAAGTCATATTTAATTGCATTAATATTCACACTAGTTCTTGACATGGTTCTAATAAATTATGAATATATCAGTTGTCATTAAGGCACTTTGTCATAAATGAAATTGAAGTACTTGGTTAATTTTTTTCAGAAATACCTTGTGTATGGACTATCTACTATGAAGTTTCCCCATGTACATCAATTGTAATGAACGTGTCATTCATGACAATGGACTCTGCAACATACTGGACATTTTCTTCTTATGATTATATTTGTTTAATGTTGTAGCAACAGTTCATGAATATGAATGCAATAATTGGGACAGAGGAGATGTATAATCTGTAAAACCTATTTAAATGTGCATCAGGGGAAAATTAATGTAAAGCCTATTTAACAGATTTATATAAGCAATGCTGCATTTTGGGGAAAGTTTTTGTTTTGTAACTAGATAAAACTGCAGTTAGACAAAACTGCCTGAAGACAAACAAAATCATTTGTTTATTCTGCACCATCCAGATGTTTGGATTACAAGTTCCTCCTCCTCCAGTTACATAGCCATGGGTGCAAAACACAGCTTCCCATACAGTATTTTATAATAAAATTTAACTGCCCTCTTTATGTAAAAAGAAATTATAGAAAGAGTAAACTGTAGCTAAGATGCCTTCTATACAGCATCTAAAGTTTGTATGTTGGAATCAGGTCAATCAGTGATTTGTCTCATCATGTGAGAACCTCCAACCAACCAATGATCCCTCTAACCAACTAGTGTGACAGCATAAAACAGCATCCAACTACGGCCACTCATCATACTGCTTGGGGCTTTATAGAGTCATTGCAGGCATCACAGTATCATCCTTCTGAACATAAATTAAAAGAAATATGACTGGTGACAAAGTAACACCATGCTCCAAAGCTGGGAGATGGGAGTTCCACCCAGTGGGAATAATGTTCCACACCCAAATTCATTGGAGCACAAGATTTTGAAAACAAAACAGAAGTGAATTAAGAACAGGTAGTCCTCAACTTATAACAGTTCACTTAGTGACCATTCAAAGTTACAACAGCACTTTAAAAAGTGACTTATGACCATTTTCACACTTATGACCCTCGCAGTATCTCTGTGGCCACGTGATCAAAATTCAGATGCTTGGCAACTGTCTCATATTTATGACAGTTGCAGTGTCCCAGGGTCATGCGATCACCTTTTGCGACCTTCCAACAAGCAGTTGGGAAGCCAGATTCACTTAGCAACCATGTCACTAACTTAACAACTGCTTAAGTGATTCCCTTAACATCTGTGGCAAGAAAAATCATAAAATGGAGTAAAAGTCTCTTAACAAATGTCTCACTTAGCAATAGAAATTTTGAGCTCAATTGTGATCATCATTGCGGACTACCTGTATAAACTTGGAGCAGAATAAATGCCACAAGTTGAATAACTAAAGTTATTCTTCCCATATGATTTTTCATTTATACTTAACCATCACCTACCAGGCCTACCAGAAGAATAAAAGCAGCTTTAATGAGGGAGAAAACTACTCTCAAGGGAAAGCTATTACATACATTCTCCTCTTAATATTTCTGTGATGAAATCTGCCTTCCAGGGGACTTTGCAATGGAGAAACAAATATCTTTGCCATGGCTCTAATATAATTTGTAATTTGCCCCAAAATGCAGTCAACATCAAATATGCTGACACATAAAGATGGCTTATTGTCTAATGTGCATTTGAGCATTTTTGGGCTTATCATTTCATGTTGAGACTCACCATTTATTTATCAGATGAAAATAAATCACAGTTGTAGCAATGGAATCTAACAATGATTTCCATTGTTAGCTTCCATTGCTACAACTGTGATTTATTTTCAGATCCATCATCTGAAGTAATTTAGTTCCAGTTTTGCCTAGATATACCATACATATAACACTATCAAACAGAGGTTTTGATCTCCCGAAATGTTATTTTTATTGAAAATGATATGTTGAAATGCCAACGGTATGGGGCTGATATAATTCAAAGTGCTGAATTTCACTGCTTATTATTAGACATTAACTATTGATATTTCATGGTTTTAGGATACAGCAGGTCAAGAGAGATATAGGACAATTACTACAGCCTACTATCGGGGCGCTATGGGCTTCATTTTAATGTATGACATCACCAATGAAGAATCTTTCAATGCTGTACAAGACTGGTAAGTAAAATATATTTAGGAATACATTGGCAATAAAGGATAGTTGACCTGACAACCACATTTTGACTGTTGTTGTTATAAGAAGAGCAGCAATTTGCTTTGGCTAAAGGTAATAATTCTTTATTACCACGAATCTGATTTTGAGAATGATTTATTCTGGATTAAGCTGTGCCTCATGCCAACTACAAAACTTTAAAAGTTTCCACCCCTCATTAGTGACCAATTCAAATGCCTTCATGGGAAGCCCACTAGTTTTCCAGCAAATGATCTTCAGAGTAGTCGCAGTGACATCGAGGCTAATAGACCCTGATCCCCATGACTTTCATGAATTGGTGCCACCCCTTTTTTTTTTAAACCAGGGAAGCAGGTAGCCAGCACCACATCTTGTAGTAGCAAATTCAAAAGTTTAATTGTGCGTTTAACATTGAAAAAAATCCTTTTGTCCTGATTCTCCCAAGATTCTGTTTCACTGAGTTCTAGTTCTTTGGGAAGAGGGAAATAGCTTTTCCTTGTCCATTTTGTTTCTTTGTTTGTATCCCTTGTTTATTATTTTTACAAATAACTCAAGGTGGTGAACAGATCCAATACATCTTCCTCCTCCTGTTTTTACCACGGCAACAACCCTGTGAAGTGAGTTGGGCTAGGAGAGAATGAATGGCCTAAGGTCACCCACTAGCTTTCATGGCTAAGGCAGGACTTGAACTTAACAATCTCTGGCTTTCTAGCCGGATGCCTTAACCACTAGACCAAACTAAGTCTACACCATACTCAATTTTGTATACCTTCATCATGTCCCATCTAATTCACCTCCTTTCTAGATTAAAAAAAAACTCTAAATGTTATGTTTCCACATAGGGATGCTCTCCAACCCTTTGACCAACTTAATTGCTTCCCCTGACTTTTCTAGTGCTCTTATATTCTTTTTGAGATGTCATGCTGATGTCATGATGTCATTTAACCATTGGGCTCACAATGCGCAAAAACCAGATACACTTATGCCATTGATTTATAGAAGGCATCATGATATTACCATCTCTAGTTTCAGTCCCATTTCTTTTATGTCTAACATGCTGTTCACCTTTTTTTCTTGAATCTATACTGTATATAATGTATATACTAATGCATATACTATATATATTTATTTATTTTATTTATTTATTAAATTTTTATACCGCCCCCTCTCCCGAAGGACTCGGGGCGGTGAACAGCCAGAATTAAAAACACACAATACAAATATTAAAATACATTAAAACAAAATTAAATTATCTTAGGCTTCTCCAATTTAAAACCCCGTTACCCATAAAATTCACCCAATTAAAATTTTTTAACCCAGCCCAGCTTGCTGAAATAAAAAAGTCTTCAGGGCCCGGCAGAAGGTCCGGAGGTCCGGGATTAGTTGTATCCCTGGGGGTAGCTCATTCCAGAGGGCGGGTGCCCCCACAGAGAAGGCTCTTCCCCGGGGGGTCGCCAGCCGACATTGCCTGACAGACAGCACCCTGAGGAGACCCTCTCTGTGGGAGCGTGTTGGCCGGTGGGAGGTTATCGGAGGCAGAAGGTGGTCTCGTAAATAACTGGGTCCTAAGCCATGGAGCACTTTGAAGATGAGAACCAACACCTTGAAGCGCAGTCGGAAGACCACTGGAAGCCAATGCAGCTCGCGCAGGAGAGGTGTCACGTGGGAGCGCCATGTCGCCCCCATAAGTACCCGCGCGGCCGCATTCTGCACCAGTTGGAGCCTCCGAGTGCTCCTCAAGGGGAGCCCCATGTAGAGAGCGTTGCAGTAGTCGAGGCGGGAAGTAACGAGGGCATGAGTGACTGTGCATAGGGAGTCCCGATCCAGAAAGGGGCACAACTGGCGTATCAGGCGAACCTGATAGAAAGCCCCCCTGGCCACGGCCGTCAAATGCTCTTCTAAAGACAGCCGTGCGTCCAGGAGGACACCCAAGTTACGCGCCCTCTCCGTGGGGGCCAATGTCTCGCCCCCAATAGTCAGCGATGGCACCAGCTGACTATATCGGGATGCCGGCAGCCACAGCCACTCAGTCTTGGAGGGATTGAGTCGGAGCCTGTTCCTCCCCATCCAGACCCGCACCACCTCCAGGCACCGGGACATCACTTCAAGATGTATAGTATATAATGTATATACTATAAATGAATCTATACTGTGTCAATACCTTAATTGAACTATTTACCAGTACTCCAAGATCTCTTTCTTCATAAGCCATTGATAGTTCTTCATGTACACTTTTTAAAAAAAAATTATTATCCAGTTTTCTTCATTTTACATCACAGTTTCAAACTTTGCAACAGCAATATACCGGTATATATCCACTTCCATTATATATTCTATTAAGTCTCCTAATATACAGTATCGTATTCATTTTATTTTACATTTTTATAACATCCTCCCATAATATTATTTACAATAAATATTCTATCATTATACTTACATTTATTTCTAAATTCTAGACCGTTGATCGTCTTTCATTGTTACTATTCTAATCTTTGCATCTACTCTCCAACCAATTGTACCATATGTCCCAAATTAAATAGTGTTCCGTTTTTCTTTTATCTTTAATTTCCATTGTTAATGTACACTGTTATTATTATGGTAAATTACACAATTGGCCAGATGTTTAGACTGGATTTGGCATTTTTAATCCATGTATCGAGTCCTCCGCAAGGATGTGGGATAAGGCAGATGTTTGATAGTGTTGAATATATCATTGAAGGATGTAAGCTGTTCCAAGTAAAGCTACCTTCAATTGATGGTGATCTTGTTATTTCCCTCCCCTCCTTTTTGTCCCTCCTCCCTTTTAACCCCCCCTCAAATTCATATCAATCCAGTCAATTCAGTCTTTCCTTCTTTCAACAAAAAGTCCATACGACTTTTCCAGTCTTTCAAAAGGTCTATATCATTTCTCCCCTGACCATGCTGGTCAATTTCATCATTCCTATCAATTCCATCAGTTTTATAATGCAGGCTTCCACTGTGGATATTTCATTGTTCTTCCAACTTTGTACATCTGGTACTGTAATCTTGCTGCAGTTATTATATATCATGTTAATTTCTCATATTTGTTTTCTAGTTCAAAGTGCCTAAGTCTTTGTTCAAAAACATTCTGGTTTCATCATATTTTCATAAGTTTGTTATATATAATTGAAGTTTTTTCTTCTTTTTTATTGTATTTCTTATAAATTATCACATAATGAAAATATTGTTTTCATTCTTGGGGGGGAAATTCAGATCCTTCATATATTAAATTATAGTTTTTAAATCCCATGTCTGTATTTTAACTTTTGAAAAGTCCCATAACTACAACTTTAATTTAATTTCTTTGATTTCTTCTATTTTCTTTTCTTTTTTTAGTGTTCTGATTTGCTGCAGTGCATTTATATTTGTCTGAATAATGTTGGTGTAACAGTCATAAAAATATTATTCAGATGAGCACCAATACACAGCAGCAACTCAGAATATCAAAAAAAAAAAAAAAAAAGGAAAGAGACCATAACACATCTTCCAATAAATGGATACCCACTGATTCCTGGCAAGTTCCTAAATTAATCCCTGTAGGATTTTTGGCAAAAATTTTCAGAAGAGGTTTGCCTTTGCCTTATTCCTGCTGGGTTATTATATGATTTTCAACCTACAGCAAATATCTTTCAAGGCCAGAGATTCCACCTTCAGCTCAGCACTGTAGGATATTGTCTAGTTTAGGTACTGTAAATCCAGCTTTATTTGTCAACCTGCCAGTGATGACATTGTGGCTACCATCATTTAGAAGAGATGTTACAAAAGCAAGGTTTAAAATAGGAACTTTCTAACACAGCTCCTTCTTGTCATTCTACCTGCCAAACCATCTTCCATGTTTCAAACTTAGTTTGCGTATATATGACAATATTGTCCTTTGATTTAATAGATACATTTTTTCTAATTTTATTAAAAGCATGTGTATCCCAGAAAACATTTCCAATGCTGGGAAAAGTGCAGTCTCAGCTTTGTAACTATCATTCGCAGAACAATCTGTTCCATTAATATTTTAAGATTTACATCTTTGCTTCCCATTGATTATTTATAGAATTGAATCCAATGCTTCACCAGTACAGAGCAACAAGATAGACAATCCTGGCGTACACCATGATTGTGGAAAACTTGGGGAAAACGATCATAGCACTTTGAAGACATCCTTATTTTTTCTTCTGAGATATCTTATTCAAAGAGCATGGAATCATTGTTTTAAAGGAAACCTTGGAAGGTCCAATCTAAAGGTCGGTCCAGAAAATCTAGAGCACGAGTGTCAAACTCAAGGCCCGCAGGCTGGATGCGGCCCAAAACTGGCCCACGGTGCCACCCTGGAAACAGCAAAGGACCGGCCTGTGGTGCCTCTGCCTGCGAAAACAGTGTTCGGGGTGGGGGCACATGCAGCCCTCCCAGGTCCCGTTTTCAGCCACGATGGTCTCTTGCAATCTTCTGCCAGCGAAAGTGCCCCCTCCCCTGAGCTCTCTTTTCTATGGCAGAGGGCTGCCAAAAATGGGCTCTGTTTTCACTGGCAGAGGGCTAGCAAAACAAACTAAAAACAAAAGGAGAAATGTTTCCCCTTTTACATTTGAGCATGCAAGAAGGGACAGGAAAGGAGGAAGGGAAAGAGGAAAGACAAAGAAAAAGAAGGGAAGATGGGAAGAGAGCAAGGAAGGAAAAATAAGGAAAGAGAGAAAGGAAGAAGAAAGGAAAACGAAGAGGAAAGGAACAAGAAGAAAAGAAAGGCAGGCAGGCAGGAAGGAAGGAGATTATAATGAGAGTGAGGGAAGATTTGAGGGAAGTCCTGCCTTAGCACTTGGCCACCACAGGTGCCCCCGACACAAATGATGTCGAGCTGGCCATGCTCCCACTGGCCATGCCCCTCCCCCCAACTCCCTCAGATCAAACACAACCCTGATGCGGCCCTCAATGAAGTTGAGTTTGACATCCCTAATCTAGGCTCTGGAGTATTTCCAATAGA